GCCACTCAAAGTAAAGAGTTACGATGTAGTGTTGTATTGTCGTAAGAAAGGGCAAGCTACCTGGAAAGATAGACAGCTAATTCTAGACTTGAAGAGGTCAAGATTTAATTTGCGAAAGAATTTCAGGCGGAGACGTTAAGTATATAGATTTGAAGTAGATTTTCGAAGGAACCAAACCCCAAATCCTAAACAGGAAACAAAGGATAAACCTCTACTCCTGTTCAAAACACTGGGGAGAGTGTGAACCGGACGATACCCGAATCGACAAGCATTTAATGAATGGCGGAGAGCAGAAGGAACGAAACGTTGCGATAACAACAAAAGATACGGAGACAACAGTCTGCAAGTCTTTACTTTTCTAAGTATATGTGATGTTCCTAGTAGGATGATATTCTGGGTAACTTGTATGTTGATGTTACTTGAGACACTGTTAATAAAATTGTCCATTCCTTTTCTCATGAGACCCAGTGCTCCGATTACTACTGGTACAGTCTCAGTATTCATTACCCACATCCTGTTATGCTCGATCTTCAGGTCCTTGTATTTGGACAATTTCTCGATAATTTTTATGGAGGTGTTATTTTCAGACACTACTGTTCTATCAATAAGCATACACTTCCTGAATATCTTTTTTATTATTATTATTATTATTATTATTATTATTATTATTATTATTCCTTTGATTTCTAATGTGTACTCATTTCTTTCCAGGTCCCACCCAGAGACCTAAGGTTAGAAATGGCATCATGACATTTTCCATTGGGGAAAAAAAAAACAAAAAGAAAAAAGAAAAAACAAAAAAAAAACATATTTTACATAGACAAAGCCCTTCATAAGGTGTGGGCTGTACTCGTGCGAACAATTTTTTGTATTTCTTTTAGGCATGGGCTACCAGGAATCCCTTCAATTAGTCTACTGGAATCTTTTCCGACCAATCCGAGGGCTCCAACTACAACGCAGATTGTTGATGTTCCTATGTGCCACATTTTGGAGATTTCGATTTCAAGGTCCTTGTATTTTGATAGCTTTTTGAAGTTCTTGAAAGATACATTGCAATCTGCAGGTACTGCCATATCAATAAGGAGGCGCTTTTTTGTGTGCGATCTTTAATAACAATGTATTATTATTATTATTATTATTATTTCCTGTGATTTTTGTTGTATACTCATTACCTTTGTGGTACCATCCAGTCAGAAATGACTTCATGACATATTCTACTGAACATTTTCGCAAAAACAAAAATATAATAAATAAAAACTAGGATTACACACATTTTACATAGATAAAACCCTTTGTGAGCTTAGAGCTGACTTATGAGACCAATTTCATGTATTTCTTTAAGACATGGTCTACCAAGAATCCCTTTCAATGTGTAGGTCAGAACATTTTAATGATCATTCCAATGCCCACTATCACACCTGGAATTATTTATGTCTTCACGTGTCACATTTTGTTGGCGTTCACTTCACGATAATTGTATTTTGATATTTTTGAAGATCTTCAAAGTTGCATGACAGTCTGCATTAACTACTATGTTGGTAAGAAAGCATATTCCGTTTTTGTGGTCCTTGATCACGATGTCTGGGCGATTAGATTTGATTGTTCTGGTTGTGTTTATTATAAAGTCTTATGAAATTGTTACAGTTTCTATCTATGTAACAGGGTCTAGACGATTTTTGTACCACTTTCTTGGAGTTTCCTTCCGTAAAAGTTGCCTGTTTTCCAGTGCCGTTATTAGACCACTCTATCTTGACGAGTTTTACATTCATTTAACCTGATGCAAGCTGGTCAATTGTTTCTGGATATTTATCACACAATCCGCTATTCGGGTTAATATAATTTTTCAGCATGTGTGCTTGGTATTTTATAGTTGGCAAGCAATGGTGCTGTGCAGAGACAATAAAACCATTGGTTTCAGTTTTAACCCTGCACTACGTAACCACTGATGGGTACGGGTTTTTTTTACATAATCTTGTTTGATAAGGGTAGAGTATTGAAAATACTTATTTTGCCGTCGTTTCTGAATTTGGTACATTGCATTTACCTTTGAATTTCTTTTTAGGTTTTTGTATCTGCAGTAACGGCATTATGATTGATTTTAACTTCTTCACCAACATGAAATATTTTTTTGAATTTGTTGGCTTCCTTTATTAATGAATAAAGTTTCTTACATCTTTCATGCTCTTTGATACTGGTCATTATCCAGTCTTCTGCAGTTTCTAAGTATTTTTGAAGTCAATTGCTGTCGTTTTATAAGACGAATCTAGTTGAACTAATCCTCTGCCTCCTTCGGATCTGGACGCATACAGATGATCAACATCAGCCTTAAGATGATAAGTGTCGTGGCAAGTGAAAATTCTTCTCGTTTTAACATCGGTTGATGTCAGCTATGGCCCAATTAAGGATGCTGTAACTGTATTGCACTACAGAGACAGTCAAAGTATTTATGGCTGATATTCTGTTTTGTGACTTCAACTCGATATTTACCACCAGATGCACACGTTTGTAGTATTCTTTTCTTACTTTCTTCTTCATTTGGATACGCTGTATTTCATCTCCTTCGCTGATTCATAGGTATTTATAGGCTTCTTCTTGTTCCATTTCCCTAATCTTTGTGACAAAATGTAGATCTATATTGTGTGTTCCTGTAATTGCCGCTGTCTTGAATTTTATTTTTGCATATTTATCTAATCCGAAAACCATACTAATGTCATCATTGAAATATTTTGCAATATTGAGGATTCTCTCCAACTCATTGTCGTCTTTAGCAAAAAGTTTATCATCCATAGAGAATATGTAATTAAATACTTTCTTATTTACTTTGTATGCATAGTTATTAGTGTTTAGTTCATGCAAAAGGGAGATTAAGGACGGGAGGATCAGAAGGGGGCGACAGGGAGTTTCCTTGAAAGAATTGGAATTCAAACAATTGGAAGTGGTAGTACCTTTCATGTGATTTAAGTATAATGCAGTTTTCCACAGTTACATGCTATATTAAAGGAAATTTACTATCACTGAGGAGACTTTGTACATTTCCAAAGCCTTTAGGATCCAATAGTATGGCACACTATCAAAGGCTTTACAATTATATATTCAGTCTGTGCTGAGATTTCTACCTTTGTTCCAGCAATTTTTAGGATCAATTTAGCTACATGCAGTTGGTCTTTGCAACCATATAAACGTCTTCGAGATCTCTTCTGTTCCTGGGGAAGTATGTGGTTTTCATTGAGGAAAAGGTAAGTACAGTACATCAGGATATACATGATCAGTTTATATGTGGTGGATTGACATGTTATTGGCCAATAAATTTTTGTCATTTCCAGGGTATTTCGATTTTTCGGATTTTGTTAGAGCTTGCCTATCATTATACTTGATTATATTTTTATATTCTTTCACAGGTTTATTCTTAATTTTTTCTTGTTATCGTTTGACTCGCTCTGCATTGGGATTATATTCTTTTGTCTTGCTCCAAATATTCTTCTAAAGTTTTTGTGGTGGCTTTTTTTGACTTCTATAACTGTTTTTCCAATTTCCCTTTAAAACTTCTTGAATTCCATTTAGAATATCTTATTTTGTCAATAGATCCTACAACGCTTTTCATATCGTCTTGTTCTCCGTGCCTTTAATTGCAGTTTCTCTTGAAGTATATCCTTGATTGGTGGAATTCCATTTACTGCTCTAATTTTATATTTCTCCTTGACATTCTTGCTATTCTTCGTTTGAATTACTTGAAATCTTATCTAGTCTCGACAACTCACATCTGGTTTCCTCAATTTCTCGCTTTAATTTTGCATTTCATTTGGGCCCTTTTTGTTTCTTGTTTAATATCTTATTAGTTTTGATGTTAAGTTTTCAGTAGCTGCAAAGGCTGTTGCATATATGACATTATTTACTTCTGTGATGTTTATTATTATTATTATTATTATTATTATTATTATTTTCTTTGATTTCTATTATATACTCATTTCCTTCCGGGTCCCAGCGAGAAACCTAAGGTCAGAAATGGCATGATGCCATTTGCCCTGAACATTATTGAATCTAATACCACACACATTTTACATTGATAAAGCCCTTATTATTATTGTTTTATTATTATTATTATTATTATTATTATTATTATTATTATTATTATTTCCTTTGATTTCTGATGTGTACGCATTTCTTTCCGGGTCCCGTCAAGAGACCTAAGGTTAGAAATGGCATCATGACACTTTCCACTGACAAAAAAAATATTTTACATGGATAAAGCCCTTCACATTTTTGAGATTACGATTTCAAGCTCCTTGTATTTTGAAAGTTTTTTGACTGTCTTCAAAAATACATTGCAGTCTGCAGGGACAGCCATATCAATAAGGACGCACTTATTATTATTATTATTATTAATATTATTATTATTAGTAGTAGTATTAATAATAATGCAAATTTTAGAAAATTACTCAAATAAATATAATAAAATAGTTCGCTTAATTATTAGGAATTATTATTAATAAAAATATTCGTGGGTTGATATTAGGCTACTAGAATAAATAAACAGATGCGTATTATCCAGTTTATTCCACTATAAACACAGACTGTTATCTTTGTTTCTTTTTCTCCTTCTTACCCTTTAAAGAAATTGTTTTCGCTTGGAAAACAAAGTCGTAGAAGGTTGATTACAGATTCTCCAATACAAAAATATATGCGCAGAATATGACTTAATCAGCATCACACTTTTCATTTGCATCAAAGTTTCAGAAACTTCCATGATAGTCTCTTCAACCGTAATAGAAATAGCACGTAGAGACATCGGCCTTCATAATAATTATTGAAATATTTCTCGGGTGGACGAAGCGTGCAGCGGTTCACACGAGTCATTGACTCTCATTGAGCTCAAGAAATTCTCCTACCCTCCCTTATCGTTCCAACCCACAGCAAGGAAAGACACAGTCTCTGTCCGTTCTCTCACATAAGGAGATACAGAAATTGGAAAAGGTGGGCATAATGACAATTGTCACGCTAAAATGCGTCGTGGAGTCGTTTTGGGTGCGAAATGAAGAGAAGGTCTCCATTATGGCCGCAACAAATACGATTTTATGAAAGTGCGCATGCGTCGAAATCTGACTGTTTGCATGTTGAAGCTGAAGGCGAATTAACGCCATTTATTCGCGCGCACGTAAAAATGCCGCTATTAAGGTGCGCCACCTACCGGGAGAAAGTATTTCAGGCTTCGATGTTGTTGCTCTTGTCAACTTATTCCGATATTTCGTCTTTGTATTCCGTTTAATATTTGTCTTCATTTTCTTTCTCATCAACCAGTTTTCTTCTTTATTGATATTTTTTTCTTTTCGTTACACTCCAACATTTTAATTTTTCGTTTACCTTTTTCTACATCGTCTCTTTTTCAGTCGTTTTCTATCTTTTCAGCTGAATTTTGCAGTTTCCCCATTTTCACAATTAACAGTTTAACTTGAGACTTTTGTTGCCCTCTTCTTCTTCTTCTTCTTCTTCTTCTTCTTCTTTCAAATACATTCTTCTGAGCCTTCGAGCTTGGGGCTTGCAAAGCTAATTTGAATTTAGCTATTTATGTGACGACCGCAATATGGTTGAGCCTGACCAAGTTTCTACCAACCTTCAAAATACCTAATAAAAATGACACTTCATTACCAAATAGCACTGTTTCCAAATACCAATAAAAATCGCATAGCACTGTTTCCCAAAGACCAATAAAAATCAGCTCGTTTACCAACACCCTATTAACTGGCAACCATATTGTGTACCTATTTCTTGATAATTTCTTAGAAATCATTTAGTCTTTGAATAAGTGCTTCAGTGTGCTTCAGTTGGCACATCGTTTGGAATCTTGTGGCACCAACTAACGGTCTAAGTCAAAGATGCTTCCACTGAAATTACTGTGTATATATTTCTTCAGGTTTCTCACGCACTTAGATGCTAAATTGTCTATCATATATTTAGATGCTAATTTAGTTATAATGTATATAGATGCTCATTTGTTTCTCACGCATTGCGATGTTAATTTGTTTCTCACGCATTTAGATGCTAATTTGTTTCTCACGTATTTATATGTTAATTTGTTTTTCACGCATTTCGATGTTAATTTGATTCTCACACACTTAGATGCAAATATGAAAAAAAAGGCATCTGTCGAGTTACAGGATTAATCAGAAATTGGATGCAGCTCTGGAAAAATCTATAAATCGATTAAGAATAAATCCAATAACAAATGAAATTAATTAAGGCTTTTGTCAAGTTTTGATTTTTGGGAAACACGTGCTTCATACACTATTCATTTTCTTGCATGCAACGAGAGTGAATACTGACGTCACATATCGCAATGTATGGGAATGATTTTGCTTTTACTTTTTATTATTTTTATCAAAACTGCATATTTTTGAATCTATCTATCTATCTATCTATCTATCTATCTATCTATCTATCTATCTAACGGTATTGCCGAAAGGTTCAAAGCCCGTTCTACTTCTCAAAAGTTGACCAAATAAAAATTTCTTTTTTTTTTAAATTTCTACATACTTGGGCAGAGAACATTTCGCATCTATCTATCCATCTATCTATCTATCTATCTATCTATCTATCTATCTATCTATCTATCTATCTATCTATCTGCAAAGGCGTGCCGAAAAGTACCCAGCCTATACTATTTTCCAAAATTTGATCAAATGACTGAATATTTTTACAGTTAGGTTCACTCTGTACAAGGCCTTCACTCGAAGTAGAAGCTTAAAATAAGATGCAGTTTATGCGGATAGGAGCGGAAAGTGACGTTTAACTCTACACTTGAAAAGGTTAAGATTGTCGTGATTGGGAGAACATCCTCTTGGTAGTCGGTTTTTGAAATGAATGTTATAGGAGACAGGTTTAATATGACAGTCTTTTTTCAAAAATGATCTCTATCGAGTGGAATTTGGGATTATAGAACAAATCCTTCAATAAAATGAACACAATAATTGGCTCAATTTTTTTGTCTTTGATATCCACCTTTTGATATCTGGAGTAACGCTAACCAAAAATACACCAACCAATTTTTTTCGTGTTTTTTTTTTTTTTTTAATTTAAGTTAGCAGATATTAAAGCAGTTTAAATTTTCAAAATGAAATGAAATAGTTCTCGGGAAGATATTTTAAAACTAGACAGTTCCTTTCATATGTTACATTAAACATTACTTGCGTTTGACACCATATACCAGCCATCAGTTATCCGCTTTGAACATAAATTTTCTTGTATTTATCAGAAAATCATGATCAAAACCTATATTTCTATGTATTCTAGGTTGTTAAATCGATTGATGGTACTGACAATCCCCTAAAAGATTATCTAAATGGATTTCTTACAAAATATAAGTTCCCTTGGGGAATTTTAGCTCTTCGCTGAAGTCCAGTGTTTTAAGACCTAAACATACATTTTAAATTAGAAATGCGAACTTTTTGTTCTAATCATCCCCATACGTACAAATATTAGTAATAATACAGTTTACATAACTGAGCT